GAACCAGTGACCCTTCGAGCTGCAATCGAACGCTCTACCACTGAGCTACCCGCGAGCCGAACCATGCGTACCCCGTTGCCCAATTCACATACCAAACGCAGAATAGGGTCAAGCGGCAGGTGTGGCTGTTTGCCGCGCATCCGCTCGTTTGATGAGTGAACGCCGCATATTACACTGCACCTGTCAGCCCCCACCATGATAATTGCGGACCTTTTCGTCCGAAAACGCACCCCGGCGGCTGACGTGCATTCGGTACACATTCATAGCAAAAACGAATCACATAGGTGAGCATAGGCACGAGAGGCAGGGACGAGATTTTGACGCTACTCCGCATGTTTGTGGCGCGAAGGCCGAATATATCACTGCGCCTGTCGGCCTTGTCCTGGTGACAGTGAACAGTTTCGTCTGGAAACTAAACATGGCTGCTGACGTGGATTCGGCCCCATTCGTAGCAAAAACGAATTACATAGGCGAGCAAAGCAGGAGCAGCAGGGGCGAGCTTTTGACGCTACTCCGCTTGTTTGTGGCGCGAAGGCCGAATACTACACTGCACCTGTCCGTCCCGACCTGGTGATAATAGACCTTTTCGTCTGGAAACGGAACATGGCTGCTGACGTGGATTCGGCTCCATTCGTAGCAAAAACAATTTACATAGGCGAGCATAGGGACGAGCGGCAGGGGCGACATTTTGACGCTACTCCGCTTGTTTGACGCGCGAAGGGCGCATATTACACTGCACCTGTCAGCCCCCACCTGATAATTGCGGACCTTTTCGTCTGGGACACGCGACGTGGCTGCTGACGTGGATTTGGCCCCATTCGTAGCAAAAACAAATCACATAGGCGAGCATAGCAAGGAGCAGCAGGGACGAGCTTTTGACGCTACTCCGCTCATTTTGAGGCGCAGAGGCGCTAGGATACACTGCACCGGGTCAGCCCCGCCCTGGGTGATAGCGAACCTTTACGTCTGGACAACGGAACATGGCTACTGGACGCAGATTCGGCGCCCGTTCGTAGCGAGAACCGATTTACATAGGGGAGTATAGGAAGAAGCGGCATTGGGCGAGCTTTTGAAGCTACCTCGCGTTGGTTGGAGGCGCGAGGGGCCGCATACTACCACTGCCCCCGGTCGCGCCCCGGCGCGGGTTGATAAAGGGGACCGTTTTCGGTCTGGAAACCGAAACATGGGCTACTGA